GATTATATCAAGAGTCAGCAAGTAAAACAAATTTCCAGGACACGAGAAAGACATGCTTGCTTATCAATATTTAGCTTGTAATTTTGTAAGCTTAACGACATGATGACAACTACGTAATTAGTTTGTGGGAAAATATGAGAAGCCTTTTGGTTTCTTTTGTCTTTACTCGATCTTTCGTTTGTGTCATTTTGATATTAATTTATTTTAAAAAGAATAATATCATTTATAGTTGAAAGCAGTTTAACTTTACATTTTTTTATTTCACCCTTAATAATATTTTAATGTTGTATGGTGCCCATATACGATATAATATAAGGGTAAGAATAGCACGGTATAGCCAGTTTTCAGACTAATCATTCAAAAATAGCCAGCATTTACCAAGTCAATGAAAAATAACCACTATTTTGTTGCAACAGAGATCGGTCCAGCATAATATATTGGAGTTTGGTGCACCTGTGTATGAACTCCAGCATATTATGCTGGACCGGTATACTTTGTTGGCTCATTATACTGGAGACTGGAGCATCGGTGCTCTAAACTCCAATATTTTATGCTGGCCCGGTATACTTGCTAGAACTCCATATATTATGCTGGAGTTCTAGTGTACGTATGCTGGAACTACATCATATTATGCTGGAACTCCATCATATTATGCTGGAGCTCCAACGTAATTATCCTGGAACTCCAGTATAATATGTTGGAGTTCAAGTATACTTAAGCTGGAACTCCAGCATAATATACTGGCGTATTTTCCGGGTTTTGAACAGTATTTTCGCTCAGATTTATTTTTACATAAAAATTGGCTAAATTTCGATTACTTTTGAAACTGGGCTATTTTTGAACGACCAGTTGTAAATCTGGCTATTTTTGAATTTCTCCCATAGGTCCACCAAGCTCTACCACTACAAGAAATCACGCTTATTGTGGCGACTAAAGTAGCCACAAAATCCCTAGAAGTCGCTGCTAAAGAGTATTAGTGGCGACTTTTATATTGCCACAAGCAAAAGCGTAACTGAAGGTTATTTATGGCAACATTTGTTGTCGCCACTAAAAGAACATTTTTTGTGGCAACAGAGTTGCCACAAAAGGTTGAAAAAATCGCCACAAAACATAGTTCCATCAGAACAAATATTAGATGGGTCGCCGCTATATATTGACCTTTAGCAGTGACAAGATGCGCCACAAAAAATATTTATGTTCAGTGGCAAGATTATGTCACCACTAAAAATGTCTTTAGTAGCGACTAAAGTGGCCACAAAAAATATTTATGTTCAGAGGCAAGGTTATGTCACCACTATAAATGTCCTTTAGTAGCGACTAAAGTGGCCACAAAAGTTTAAACCATGAAAGACACATGTTTTCTGTAGCGACTAAAGTCGCTGCAACAGAAATTGACCTTCAGTGGCCACTTATATATCGCAACAGTTACTAATTTTTTGACAAAACTATGTCGCCACTAAAAGCTATTTTCTCAACAATTATAACGACCAAAATTATATACATTTCCATGCCAGTAGGAACCTAATTCTCTATAATTTCATATAGATATATTCATATCAATTGACTATTAATATTAAAGCAACCAATAATGTTTGACAAACATCAAAAAAATTTATCAAGCCGAATATTATAAATATTATCATTACTATAAAGTCAATTACATATGTACTACCCGACACTTCATTGTAATTGTACGCATTTACATATCCCAAAAAAGACAAAATATTAAGTGCCTTGTAATTTATCCTTGCTCGACACCATCCTTGAACGATACAATTGTTTAAGTGTCTTGTCCCTGCTAGACAAAAGTGATATATATAAGGAACATAATGAGATTTGTTATATCCAACTACTATCAAAATTCTAAAAAATTTAAATCTATGTCAAAGGAAAGCCAGAAGTTGCAACCAAAGTTTGTGTACTACAAAGCAGCTTAACAATTCCAAAAGTTGTCTGGACCACAAAGCAAGAGTTGCATGAATCTTAGATGTCACTTTTAGTTGGAACAGTTACAAGATCAATCAGATACAAGACAAGATTGGTGAGATAGCTTCTGCTGACATAAGTGAGATAGCTTCTGCAGACAGCTAGGAATTATGTTCAGTATTCTTATGGGGCTTTATTCCTTAGTTGTTTCTTTTATATTTTTGTCTTGCTTTATGAATGGAAATGTTCCTATCTTGCATGTTAAGTCTACTAAGTGCAATTGCTCTCGTGTGATCTACACCAGAAAGAACAACTCCATGATAATATTTTTTCTATGATGCAGCAGCAGCAGTTTTCTATAACAAAAATACTGGATTACTATTCTGAATGCTGTGATTACTAGTAAATGCTTTTAACCTCATGACTCTGCTCATTCAACAGTTTTTTCATAGCTTCTGCAGACAACCATTCCCTTCAAAAATTTCTGAGCAGTTTTTTCATAGGAACAGTCCTTCATTTCTGGTTGTAATTTGTGACACTGTCCGATAACTTGAAAAGATAGGAAGAAATTAAATAAAATATGCCAAATTAAACACTTGGATCAATGATAAAAACATGGATGACTTCAGAAACTACTAGAATTAACAACAAAACAAGTGAATACAAGCAAATCCAGCATGTTGTGATGCCCAAGACAAAAACTTTGTGCATGTACTATAAAACCTAGACAACAAATCAGTATTGCAAACAGCCATTCAGCTGTGTTGCAATCAGCTCAAAGCAAAGATTGTAAAAAGGATTTAGGCTCGTAAGCAATAGGAAAGAAAGCGAAATTTGAGCAAGTAAGCCTGATCATTTAGGCCGAAGATAATTGTTTGAGTTTCATCAGTCAAATTCAATGCTAATTTTCTACTAGACACATGTATATCCCTGATTCTACCAAAGAATGAATGCAACTCCAATCACAAGCCCTGTCAACAATCCAGTAAGACCAAGATTAATCTTGAAAGCCAAAACCACACCTAATGGCAAAGTTAACAGATAAAATCCACTAATATTTGCATACATTCCTAGCCATGACCTAGCCGTTCCACGTACAATTCCTCTACAAATTGCTAATGGAAAATTAACCACTTCAAGTAATTCCATTAACAACATCATTTTCTTAACACCATTTATAATCCCTTTATTATGACTAAACAATGGCCCCCAAATTCCTCTTGCAGTAGCCATAACAGAACCACCAAGAAAACCCAAGGCAACGCTCATAGCTAACGATACATAGGCTACGTGATAAGCAGGACCAGGACAATCTGCACCAAGCTCATTAGACATACGAATAGATGCACACGTTGTTAACGAAAGCATAACAGAAAAGAGTAAATAATCAAAATTTAACATAATGGCTATAACTCCAATTGCTTGTTTAGCATTTGGGAGATGTCTTGTTAATAAAACCAAGATTTCATAACACCACCATTCAAGACAAGTAGTAAGACAACATGGTCCAGATAATTTCAGTAGTCTGATCCAAAACCAAAGATACCAACACACTATTCATGAAGTCACTACAGAAGGAAGAAAGAATAAATGTCGAGAAGGAAGAAGAATTGTTAAGAAGGAGCGTAGCAAGTACCTGTTATTGTTGCATTCTGGTCAAGAAACTAGCAAATTGTTCCTGCATTTTCTTCTCCACTTCTAGAGATATCCTCTTGTCTACTTCTGCATTTGCGTGTTGACGCTCCTCTGCCAACTTCCTTTCCAATTCAATTTTCATATTTCTCTGCAACTCAGCAGCCATTTGTTCACGTTCTTCTTGCAACTTCCTATCCATCTCGGCTTGCATCTCTTGACGCACAATATCAATAGCAGAAGACACGCTGGCCTCTATATTTGCCTGCTGAATATTACTCTTTTTAGGAGGCTTCTTTCCGTATCCTTTTCCACGAACATAGCCTGTTCTCTCACCAACAATGGGGGATAAAATCTCATCTCTAGTCATGGGATGCTCGATCTCCTCAGATTGTTGCTGAGCGACAACTTCCTGGAGTTGACCCTGCATTTATGCATAATCATTTAAATCAAAATATAATAAAATATATTAAATGAAACTTACATAAACAGAGAACTTTATAAGTGTTTTTCGATAATTACATGAATTTGTTGGGACTGTGAATCCAACCACACCAGTTCACCACTATCATCCTTGCGTGTATGTTGGATCTCCCAAACTTTATCTGGTGTGTCCAATTCTCCAGTAATAAGATTTCTCTGCAATATAGTTATGGAGAAAAAATATATAAGCAAATATATAAATATGTAAATAACAAAGAAGCATATGTGATAGTAGGGGACTAAATATATTTTTACCGTAGATTCCTCTACTTCTGCAAAAGACTTTGTACCACAAGTATGCTTAGTTATTTGTTTTTCTCTATTTCTTTTGTTCCTCTCACTTACAACCTGTAAGTAAACAGATTAATAAATCATCATTCAAAGAGACAATCTTCAGGTATTAAGTTAATACCTTAAATTCCGGACTTCCAAAATATTGTATTAGGTATTTCCAGTCCTCAAACTCAACATCTTCAGGTCGATGAGACAATCTTTCTTCATTAGTACTGTACTTAGAGTACAGAATGCTGAGTCGAGCTTTCCATGCTCTAAAAAGCCTTTGCATAGTGCTAATTACAAAGGCTTGAAACATATGCTCTCGCAACCCGCTGCAAACTTCAAATTTATCCTGACAATAAATGTAACATTATATTCAATATCCTAACCACATAAATAAACCTTGCAACTTAAAGTCAATACAATATTGAAAGCAGTTTATTACCTTGACCTTAACCACATTAGTTCTCCGTGTTTCAGAACTATTTTCTGCCAATTTCCATCTTGGAACGAGATAGTGCTCCTCATGATCAAACCACAGTAATTAACAATATCTCTAGCCCCAGAACTTACTGCTCTATCAATATCATCTGGAATCATAATTTTGATTTTGCCACCACACTTAGTTTTTACGTCTAAACTTTTAGATTTGTATTTTTCTCTTCCTCTTCCTCTTTTTCTTTTTACTCTTCTTCGCTATCTTCACTCTCTGATATTTCTATATGATTGTCATTTATGAAATCATCTTCCTCATTATGATTATTAATACTTTGTGGTTTAACATTATCCCTATGTAGAGACACATCAACAATATTTTCTTGGTCATTGGTGAACGAAGTATTAAATTCAGCTTCCTCTTGCTGATAAACTTCTTCATTCTGTAATTCTTCATCTTCAATATCTACACAATTATCATTATTATCAGGAATTTTAAAAAGGTCACGAGGATTTGTCTTCACAACAACAAGCCAATCATTATCGACCATGTCGTCTAAGTAAAAGACTTGTTCTGACTGAGATGCCAACACAAATGGCTCATTTGTATTCAAGGCACACCGAGTATTCACACTTGTGAATCCATATTTGTCAATCTTATATCCTCTTCCTAAGCGAGCCACATCCCACCAATGACACTTGAATAAGTAAACTTTTCTATTTGCCACATAAGATAACTCATAATTGTCCTCTAATACACCATAATACTCCTTATTAGAGTCTAAATCATCTCCTCTCACAAGAACACCGCTATTCTGCGTTTTTCTTCTCAATGCAAGCTCTTTTGTATGGAATCTAAATCCATTCACCACAAATGTTGAATATCGATGTACTAATGGTACACGACCGATGGCTAAGCTTATGAGCTCATCATTTGCGCGTCCTTGTGCAGATAGTACAAATATCTACAAAGACGAACAACACTGTTATGACCAATAACATGATGGGATGAATAAACTAATATCAATATTATCATTTGAGTAGATACCTACATGTGCGCGAAACCAATCAAGAAACCCATTTTTATGAGTTCTCATTGAACTTTGGCTTTCAATCTCTCTTGTATATTCCCTACATTTTAAGTTAGTTAAGATAAATCGGATTCAAACTATCTCAATGTGAAACTATCTTGGAGTTAATAAGAGACTTACTCCATGAAATGCGAAACCTCTTCACAATTTTGAAGTGCATACATACATGCTTGTTTAAAATTATCATGAGATAGCCTGATGCCTTCTAAGGCACCTTTTGTTTGCCCACTTTTTTTAAAGATAGACATCTCATCATTTGACACAGATCCATCATCATTCCTAGTTGGTTTATTGAACTTTGTTGAGATATTCTTCAAGTATCATGAGCAAAATGTGAGGCTTTCCTCTGCCAAATAACCTTCTGCAATTGAACCTTCTGGACGATTTTTGTTGCGAACGTATGACTTAAGTGTTCGCAGATACCTATATAAAATGACTTATTAATATAATGTGTGTCATTCTAAAACTATAGCATCGAAATTATTAAACAATAAATTACCTCTCAATAGGATACATATTCTGATATTGAGTTGGTCCACCAAGCTTTACCTCACTTGGCAAGTGATTTGGCAAATGAACCATGACATCAAAGAAAGCCGGAGGGAAAACAAGTTGAAGTTTGGTCAAAATAATCGGAATTTCTGCCTCTAGGATATCAAGATCTTCAATCGTCAAGCACTTAGAGTATATATTCTTGAAAAACTTTCCTAAGGCTATAATTGGATCACACACTTCCTTAGGTAGTAAACCACGTATAGCTACTGGAAAAATGTCTTGCAACAATACATGATGATCGTGACATTTCAATCCATGTATCTTTTTCTCCTGTACGTTGACACACCTTGAAATGTTTGAGGAAAATGCATCAGGAACCTTCAAATTAGCTAAGAAACTGCATACCTTCAGCTTCTCTTCTGCGGACAATGCATAGCATGCTACCGGTAACAAAATATTATTCCCATCCTCAATAGGATGCAACCTTTGTCTAATTCCAAGATCCATCAAGTCATATCTACTTTTCAATGTGTCTTTTGTCTTTCCAACCATATTCATGACAGTTAATATAATATTATCGGACACATTTCTTTCGATGTGCATCATATCAAGGTTATGTCGTAACATAAGACTCTTCCAATAAGGTAATTCGAAAAAGATACTTTTTTTCTTCCAATTGTAAGAATTGCTATGAACATCACACTTTCTCTTTTGTCCTTTACCAAAAGTGACATTACCCAAAGCTTGTAATTGCACAAGTACTTCATCACCTATTAAAGGGTTAGGTGCAACTCCCATTTCAGCTTTCCCATCAGATAACATCCTACTTCTCTGTCATGGATGGTCAATGGGAAGGAAGCGACGGTGACCCATATAACACAACTTACTACGCAAGGAAGTCGATTGTGTATCTTTATGGCAACCAGGGCATGCAAGCTTGCCTTTAGTTGACCATCCTGAAAGATTTTCATATGCAGGAAAGTCATTGATCGTCCACATGATAGCCACACGCATCAGAAAATTAGATTTTGAGTATGCATCATAAGTCTCCACCCCGTCCCATAATTCTTTCAACTCTTCAATCATTGGTTGTAAATATACATCGATATCATCGTCTGGACACTTGGGGCCTGGAATAAGAAGCGTCATCATGAAATCTGGATTTTTCATGCAATCCCATGGTGGCAGGTTATACATAGCTAGTACGACTAGCCAAATGCTATGATTAGAACTCATGTTCCCATAAGGTTGGAACCCGTTGTCACACCTCCTTTTTCCACACCGCGAGGCGCGTAGGGAGTTTTTTCAATTAAAGGACAATCAAAACGGGATTTATTTATTCATTTCAGAGTC